GGGGGGGGGGGGGGGGGGGGGGGGGGGGGGGGGGGGGTTCCATGGGATACATCTTCGACTCTTCTTTTCAGTTCTTGACACATTTTTCAATTACTTTTTGAAGCTCTTCTTTTCATTTTTCGATTACTTTCTGTCAGTTTCTGAGGCTGTCGTCCAATGATGCAAAGCTGGCGATGCACTGAGTCACAGACCAGCACAAGATGAAATGCAGCTTTTGTGCGCGGGGTTCCCTCAGGCCAACCAAGCAGAGCAGACACCGGCGGCGATCAATGAATCTCCTCGAGCCACCAGCATTCTTCTGGAAGACGTGAGCCTGACCATTCAATGGGAGGCATGATCTTTGGCTTCGTCCTGACAGACCGTTTGATTTTTATTTTTATTTTATTTTTATTTTTTTTGGGGGGGGAAGGGAAACTGTGGCTGTGACACACTTTTAGTTTGAGGCAGGCAAGAAAAGACAAAGTGGCCCTGGTGTCATGGTGCATGTTTCAAAATGCGCAAGCTTTAATTTAGTGGGGGTCTAAAACTGCACCCGTCATTATAGTACACGCAGCCAAGCTTGACAGATGTAGGGGGTGTTTTGTTTTGTCCCATTTGGGGAACTGCTAAAGCTGCCTATTCTGAACGGCATTAGGTGCGACTCCAACTTCTTCTTTTTTTTTCCCCCTTTTTTTTCGATATGAATCCAACTTGAATGCACATTGGCAAGGGCTATGCTACTAAGCCTACTATTAGTCTCCATGTTCTTTTCAATTGTCGATCGATGATTTTTTTGGCGAGGGGTATGCTTCTGTCACTTCTCCATGTTTTTTTGAATTGTCGATCGATAGTCTGTAGAGGATGAGATCATTGATTAGGACCGGGAGCTGGTTAGGTGTGTAGACGATCGTTGTTGCGGACCGGTGGCCGATCTATGGTCATCTCAGTGTCTGAAGGAGGCTCTGCTGAGAAGATAAGGTGGAAGGTTTATGAATGTCGGGTAGAGAGTGTATTTTGAGACGATGAAATGGAAGGCTACTGTGCACGTCGAACGTAGTTCAGTCTGTCGAACGTAATTGGGCAAGACCGAACCGGACACTGTCTGGGCCGTCAAACGCAGTTCGGGATGTCACAATCTCGTAGTTGGGGAATGTCATCATGTCTGCAGCGTCCCGAAGGTAACCTCGGCCCGAGACGATACGAGAAATGGGATACAAGCTGGAGGGTGCAGAATGGACCAAAGACCGCTTGAAAAACTTTTTTCACGGTTTTTTTTGACACTGGGTTTGTTTGCCCGATACTTTCCGGATCGACAAAATGTCTCTGAATTTCTGAAAGGATTACTAGCCACGGAGTGCATGGCCACCAGCGTTGTCACGCGGGGATCCCCGGGGCCCAAGCCGGGGTAGGGGTTTCAACCCCGGACCCCCGCCGCGGGGCTACCCGACCCCCGCCCCCGCAAAA